TTCTAAAATGTAGCCACACATAGAGACAAAGAGGGTGCTGATGGGAAAGATCTGGTTTGAACAAGTCTGCCAGAAACCAGAGCTTATAGGCTCCTGGTTCTGTTAACCTCTTCCCTGGAAGATCGTGCCACACATCCCAAGCGATTTCTTCACCTTTGGAGTGCTCACCTAGACAAACTCCCTGAGGTTCCAGGACTGAGTGGTAGTGCTTTGCTTTCCCTATACAACAAAACTACAGAACCACACACAAAGAAGGATGAAACAATCTCTCCCGACAGACACGTGAAATGAGAGTGTGGAAGGAGGCCCACAGTCTCAAAGAGAGGAGGCTGGCTCATTCCACTAGCCAAGATGGGAGGAACCCTGGAAAGGGGCTGGTAACTGTCAAGTTTTATCCCTTCCCTTGCAGTTCAGAATCTAAGTCCTGAACCTTGCTACCCAGAAAACCACCCAGAAACGTGGCTGGATTTGGAGATGGGGGGTCTTTAAGGAAGGAAGGCAAGATGAGGGTGTTAGGATAGTCTTAGTCAGCTCTGATTGGTGTCTTTATGGAAAGGGAGATTAGGACAAACATATTCAGACAGAAGGTGGGGGACGGTGGCCAGCTGCAATCCTCAGAAGCATCGAGCAGTCTCTGCCAACACCTTGACTTGTGGCTCCCAGCTTCAGGCACTATTTATGTATTGTGGTGATGTTCTGTGGAGGTGGTCCTGACAGACTGATGTGGGGCGTTGATGAAAGGTGACCCCTTGGTCACCGTGTGATGCTTTACTCACACCATTCTCCCATGTAGCTGGCATAGTAGTATCCTTGTCTCTGTTACCTGACAAACGGCCAGTGCTTCGGCCAGTGCTTCTTTGTACAGATGCTGATAATTTGGGGCCAGCTACTAGACACGTGTGAAGATTTAATCAAGTAGCTGCTGGTTACTTACCAATCTATTCATATTTCTCTCCTTAAAGCTCACCGTCAAAGTTCCTGTCTTTAATCTGTGTATTTAAATTGCTAATGCCCTGGTGTCTAGCTGTTCTTTATAAAGGGGTGTTTAGGGATGTTTGTCTTTTTGACTCAGGAAGACAAGGGCGGGATTGATTGCTGAACTCCTGATCTCTTCTGTACTCCCCAAGCATGGCAGAATTTAGAATCGGTTTAGGGGTGACTGGTAAATGGGGGTGGGTGGGTAGGGGGCTCCTTGTGTGGAAGAGGCTCTGTATAGGAATATAGAAATGTCCTTTGTGGCCCAGAGCATTGTCAAGAGCATAATTCATTGCTCAATTCATGTCTTTAAGTGAACACAAAAGGCAAAGAAGGGGATGAAAATAATTTGATGTATTAGTGTCTCCATGGAGACCAGAAATATGTCTAATCTTTATGGAGCCCCTCACAGTCTCTCCATTTGGAATTAGGAGAGTATACAATTGGTCATAATTGTGTATTGGAGGTGCAGAAAAAAAATGCTAACAGGAGGCAGAGAGATCTTTTTCCCCACTTAGCTGCAAAGGCAGCTATTATAACCCCAAGTTTTGTATTGTATACTTCCAAAGTTAGGATCTGGGGACACTGGTCTGTAGGACGGCATTAGGGAAACACCCAGGGTCCAGAGTTTAAATGGCCAAGCGTGGCCTGTAGGCTAGACTGTGGTTGTCATTCAAAACAGGTGTGAGTGTGCCAATGAATGAATGAATGAATGAATGAATGTGTTCTTGCATACAATTAGCCATTGGGCAGGATCTGATTCTGCACTTAGGTCCTGTCAACCATTTCTGCTCTGAGAAAACAAGGGAAGGAGGGATTTACTGGCCTAGGAACATTGAGTAATACTTAATACCTATAAAAAGATGTAGCCAAACCAGTAACTCCTGCGTGACTTCCTCTCTTTCCACAAACACGGTACTCAACATGGTCTAAAGAGTAAAGTTCAGCCAGTGAGGGAACAAGAAGAGTACCAGGAAGGAAAAGGGCAGCTATTGAAAGCCAGTCATGGTGTCCAGATAAGTCAGTTCTCATTGTAAGTGACAAGTTCTTATCGTCATTTGTGTTGTTAGGGTACAGAAGGAGATGCTGATTAGCTTTGTAAATTATGTCACGTTGAGACATAATTTCACTTCAGTCTCTGTGGTTTCTCTACTGAAAATTAGCTCACCAAAGTCAGTTACAAGTTTTCTGTAGTTTATTGGTCAAAGAACAGTTCTCCAACACTTCTGATTGTCCCCTTTCTCTTCATCCTCAGTCATGCTATAGGGGTGACTGTGCTGACCCTTAGAACACATTTTAGCATGGTGTCTTCATAGGTGGAGGTTAGCAGTGACTGAAGAAATCTTCTTTAAGACCAAGAATAATAATCACTGCTAAATCCTGGTATATAGCTGGACTTTTTTTTTTTCTTGTGCATAGATATATATATAATTCCAGTAGCTTGAGAACAGACTACCCTTATTATTATTATTTTTGGTCTCACCTAGACTGGTCTGCAACTCAATATGTAGGAGAAACTGGCCTTGAACTCCTGATTTTCCTGTTTCTACCTCCCACGGTTAGGATTTCAGATTACATATTATTGTTTTGTACCCTGTATTTTCCTGACACTGTGTAATAAACCTATCTTTCTACATTACTGCACTAGTTATGTCTCTGTTGCTGTGACAAAGCACCAGGACTGAGGCAACTTTGTAACAAAGTATCTATTTTGGTGCATTGCTCCAGAGGGTCTAGAGTCAGCGGTGACAGGGGAGCACGACAGGTGTGGCATCAGCATAGGAAGCTGATCAATCGTTCAAGTCTTGAACCATAAGCACCAAGCATAGAGAAGAACACTGGGCAAGGCACCAGGCTTTGAAACATCAAAGCCCACCATTACCACCACCAGTGACTCTTCCTCCAGCAAGGCTGGGTCGCTTATACCTCCCCAAACAGCACCCACCCACCCACTGGGGAGCAAGTGTTCAGATACATGAGCCTGTGAAGCCTGTGAAGAACATTATTATTAAGGCCATCACAATTACTAAACATGTAACCTACTAAAATATCTTTTCTTTCTTTCTTTTCCTTTTTTTGTTTTGTTTTTTGTTTTTCGAGACAGGGTTTCTCTGAGTAGTTCTGGCTGTCCTGGAACTCACTCTATAGACCAGGCTAGCCTCGAACTCAGAAATCCTCTTTTCCTTTTTTTTTTTTTTTTTTGAGAAAGGATCTCTTTGTATAGCTCTGGTTATCCTGGAACTATATAGGCTAGACTGGCCTTGAACTCACAGGGATGTGCCTATCTCTGCCTCCCAAATGCTGGGGTTAAAGGCATGTGCCACTACATCTGGTGAAACACATCACAAAGTACTCTATGTAATCAGAAAGTCGCTGCCTCTTAGTAGAGACTCATATATTTCTGGTCATTGTTTCATGTTACTCTAGGTAGAATTTGAGATTGAATAATATAGGCCTATTCAAGATTCATGGTCATGATTATTTTCCCCTGTATTCCTTATGTACTCTGTTTTTTTAGGTTTCTTCTGTCCAGGAAACACATAAACTCTTGGGTATCTGGGTTCATACTTTTAATGTTTTCAGTTTACTCTTGAGAGGTGGCAACGAATTTCAGTCAGGTGACCAGGAGTAATCACGTATGCCTTCTAATGCATTCTGGAGGATGCTTAGGATATGTTTCCAAAGGCTTACTTTAACTTTTGATGCAGCACCCAGAGGGAGCCTGTGTTCTTGGAATACAAGGACACCTCAGAAAATAATCTCTTCCCTACCTCAGTGGAGGATTTATGCGTCTTCTATTTCTGAACTCTTGGGGACGCATTTTGTATGCTTAACCTTGCACAGCCGTGGGGGCAAAACGGGCATTCATGAATGAGGCCTCGGGGTCCCGATAGCGTGAGACACAGCAATTCTGACTCTTAGACCACTTCCTATTTGCCACTTGTAAATAAAGTACTTCCTGGAGGCGCATGGATTCACTCCATCTTTCCTTGTTTGATGCAGAAGCAGCAGCTTAGGAGGAGGGCAAAGCTGGTGCCCAGAGTGGGCCTGCGCCCTTAGGAGCAGTGAAGCGAGGGGAGGGCTGGGTAAGAGTCGAGACGCGGTTTCCTTCTATTGTCTTCCCTTCCTCCGTCACCCCTCCGCACCCCACTTTCCCCTTCTTGTGCGCAGTCCTTCCTCTGTCCAGCTAAGTTTCCACCCGGCGGCCCAGGCGAGTTCAGTATCCAAGGCACTGCACACAAACCTCCCTCTATACCCTTGGGGTTTCCTCCTTGATGCGGCTGGAAACTTCGTAGAGATAGTGAGGACGCTCCGGCCCGGGCTTTTGGAGCAGGCCCCAGGCTAGGCCCCTCTGGGGACACCCCGAGTGCAGACTCTGGCCTCTGGAGGGCCAGGGTGGGTGGAGAGGGAAGAGTAGGAGTGGGCGGTGCTCTTCGCTCTCCCAGGCTCAGCTTTCCTCCGCGCGCGAAGCCCACCCAGCGGTTACGAAGGACCCCGGCGCGCAGCGTCCCGAGAGCGCCAGCCTGCCCGCCAAGTCCCGGGGACCCCCGCCCGCGCGCCCGCAGGGAGGCGCGACTGCGGCCTAGGGCGCCCGGCGGCTCCTCCCCT